ATATATATATATATATATATTATGAGCCTAAGCTAATTAGGGTTAAAGTGAATTGGACCATGATGGGCTTTATTATATAAGCTTGGGTCCATTTTACATAATGTCAAATTTAACCTTTATCCGGGCCTTATTTTGAGTATTACATGATATGAAAACCTAACAGAATAAGTCGAGAAACTTGACATTTTCACTCACAATTTGCAAAAAAAAAGTTAATTTTAATATTTTTTAAAATCTATAATTCATGCATATAGGTAAGAATATAAAATGAACCGATTGATCTCAACTTTTTTTTTTAAAGTGAGTTAACTTGGTCTCATTTATGTCCTTGAATGTTTGAAGTTTTCTAATTTGACCTAACCCATCATGGATTAGTAGCTAAATGAATTTGTCCACCAACTCATCTATTTTTTTTAAAATTCTAATTTAAAATAAAAATTATCAAACTAAATATTATGAATACAATATTAATTAAAAAGTTAACAACTTTAAATAATTAAACAAAAAAAAAATTTGTTCACAAAAGTGGTTGTTTATAAATATTAAATTTCATAAAAAAACTTAAATAAATAAATTCATACCAATTTTATGTTATTCAACATCAACTTTATTTTTATTTTAAAAAAAAAAACATCTTATTAAACTAATACACAGACACACACATATATACATATATATAAAATATATATATATATATATATATATATATATATATATATATATATATATATATATATATATATATATATATATATATATATATATATATATATATATATATATATATATATATATATATATATATATATATATATATATATATATATATATATATATATATATATATATATATATATATATATATATATATATATATATATATATATATATATATATATATATATATATATATATATATATATATATATATATATATATATATATATATATATATATATATATATATATATATATATATATATATATATATATATATATATATATATATATATATATATATATATATATATATATATATATATATATATATATATATATATATATATATATATATATATATATATATATATATATATATATATATATATATATATATATATATATATATATATATATATATATATATATATATATATATATATATATATATATATATATATATATATATATATATATATATATATATATATATATATATATATATATATATATATATATATATATATATATATATATATATATATATATATATATATATATATATATATATATATATATATATATATATATATATATATATATATATATATATATATATATATATATATATATATATATATATATATATATATATATATATATATATATATATATATATATATATATATATATATATATATATATATATATATATATATATATATATATATATATATATATATATATATATATATATATATATATATATATATATATATATATATATATATATATATATATATATATATATATATATATATATATATATATATATATATATATATATATATATATATATATATATATATATATATATATATATATATATATATATATATATATATATATATATATATATATATATATATATATATATATATATATATATATATATATATATATATATATATATATATATATATATATATATATATATATATATATATATATATATATATATATATATATATATATATATATATATATATATATATATATATATATATATATATATATATATATATATATATATATATATATATATATATATATATATATATATATATATATATATATATATATATATATATATATATATATATATATATATATATATATATATATATATATATATATATATATATATATATATATATATATATATATATATATATATATATATATATATATATATATATATATATATATATATATATATATATATATATATATATATATATATATATATATATATATATAT